GAGAGCGCGAAAAGAGCACCGATGAAAGCGAGAAATGCCAAAAGAAGAGGAACGATGCTCGGGGGACCGAGGCAGTACTGGAGAACGTCGCGTTGAGGGCCGTAGGGCTGGAAGATGGATGATGAAACGGCGGCAGTTTCGCGCACGGTAGGGCTTACCGCTGAGGAGCGGCTTCCAGGCGCCGAGTTATGCGATTTGGGGAAAGCAAGAGTGTGAGAGCGCGAAAAGAGCGAGGATGAAAGCGAGAAACGGAAAAAGAAGAGGCACGACGCGCGGCGGCGATGAGCGACGGGTGGACCCTTGATTGAACCTAATCCAAGTTTTCGTTGATTCGACATGAGTGGCCTATGCATGCATGGGGAAAGAAGGGTATGGGGAGGAAGACGATTTTTTTATCGACTGCGTGGGGGGAAAAAGTGAAGGGAGGAGAGGCTTGGACGAGTGCTAGAAGCCAACGGAAGCAAACGCGGTGGTGCCTTGAACGTCAATTCCAACCTTCGTCGAGTTCGACATGAGCGGACTATGCATGCATGGGTCCAAAACGGTACGGGGAGGAAGAGCTATTTTTTTGAAGGTGGGTCTAGGCGAGTGGTGCAGCGAGGCAAGGGCTGTGGCGAGCGCTGGAAGAGAACGGAAGCAAACGCGTTAGTTTGTATATTCTATGTTTCTAATGCATAGAATAAAGCTATACGAATGTAATTCATTAAGCGTCAGAAATTCAGCCTATGGGAAAGGCCGCTTCCTCCAAGTTCAGTTGGTTGGGTCACACTTTTTGAGATGCGATTATGCGGCGCGGGAGGAACCAAACAACGAGATGATGGCGCGGCGCAACTCGCAACACAGCCGCTGCCAGGTTGTACGACAGATGACAGCGACATGCATGGGCTACTGGACAGCCATGGTCAGAAGCTGAAAGAGGTCACGCATGTCCATGCATTGCTGCATCAAAGGCAAATGCTCAATTACGTAAAGCATATCTGTCCCCGTCGCAAGAAGCGAGAGCCGAGCTCAAGCGTGAAAAATGAGATCATCTCTTCACGCTTTGCGTCTTCTGAATGTCTGCCCTCTTGCCCCTGTTCACCCAGGATGCCTATTCGGAGGTCCTCATAGGGGTATTCGACTGTCTCGCCCTGAAAGACGTCCTGTCGCTGCTCCGAGTGAGTCGCAATCCATCGTCGCCGCAATCACTGACATTTCACAGGTCAACAAATTTGTACACACCGTCTTCAAGACCTCCTCCCGAACCCAACTGGCTCACACACGCCGCCTATTCTCCGCCCCAGCCACTGGCAACTATGTCGTCGATAACGCCTCAGGCCCCGCCGACCAGCTCGCGGCGCTGCGAGATAGAGAACGAAGACTCGACAACCTCGATTACTCGTCCATGAAGAATATACGCAAAGACGCCGGCGAAAGGCTGATCGCATTCGAGCAGGGCCTCCTCATTTTTCGTGCGCGGGGAGACGGAGTCAGAGTGCCCAAACGAGATTTTGATGAGCTCGATTCAGGGGAAGGGGAAGAGGAAGATGATGTAACGACAGCAAAGGTCGCCCGCAATGACCCATCAAAGTCTGAGAATCTAGGTGAGTACAATCCTCCTCCGGTGATCTTCCTGACGCTGTTCCAGACCATCTTTCGGAGCACCCTTTTTCTGAACATCCCCACGAAACAGTCGCCGACGCCGACGCCGAAGACGTAAAACGGAAATGGCGCGCCACGCATAAAAACCTCGCCTACTCTCAAAATTTCTCCAATGGAAGCTCCATCAAGGATGGCTGGGATGTCTACAGGGTGCCCGAGGCTGCGTCTGACGAAGACTCTCAGGCTAGAGGAGGGACTATCGATCAGGGACTGTGGTGCTGGAGGACGCGCGTGAGGGATGACTTGCAGACGGTGGAGATGTGCGGGCATGATGACCTGATGGCTGTCATGTAAGTGTAACGTCTGATATCAGTAGCATTCGAAAGCTGATAAAACTCGCAGTCAAAGAGGCGCTTACTTTATCGACCGTGACGACCCGTCGAAGTTGAATCTGTCTATTCGCATATCATTCTTCTCCGCCCTTCCCCCTAGGGGCACGCCTACTCCTGTCACAGGGTATTTCGCCCCCATCCCCCATCCGGAGGCAGCCCTGCCCTTCATCGACATCAACTTTAACTTTGCCGAAAAGGACGTGAAGACGGACGTGACAGACGACGTGAAGCTGGAGGTGATGTTTGGCTATTATGGGCAGATGTCGGTTCTGGTCAGATACGGCCCAAAGACATTGTTCGCTGGTGTTTGGGATTGGAAGAATGGTGTTTGCTTAGGAGTGAGTTTCTTTCGGGTCCCTCTGGTATCTGGACACTTACTCGAAATGTAGAGCATTCCCATCGAAGATAACCAAACCGTGGCGTCGCTAAATGCCTCCGGCCCCTTCGCCATAACGGGGAGCGCTCGACACGTCCCTGGGTCGAAACACCAAGATGTTTATGATCTGGCTATTCGAATGATCCCTCTCCCCCAGGCAGCTATACCTGATTGGCGCGAGGGCTTCGTCCAACTTTCCTTCGACACCTACCTTCTATTCCCTCCATCACTTGGCTATCCTCCTGTCAAGCCCAAGCCCGACAGCAACCCCTTTGCGCCACCCTATCCCGAACAAGCGTGTAGCTGGTTCATCAGCGATATCCCTAAGGTTATTCCTGTCTGCATCTTCGAGCTGCCCATCCCCGATCTACTCCCATGGACGCTCGCTGTGTGGTACCAAACCCACATATTTGGCATCCTCAATTTCGCCTACTCTCCCGAAGTGCACAATGCAGAGACGATCGGGATCTTTACGTGGATGCTATGGGAGAGGAAGCATATGTCCGACTTGTCTTATATGCTGCGCCAGGCGACGAACTTGGCGTTAAAGTCTCTCGTTGGGCGAGTCATACACGGCAATGACAGTCGCCGGATCAACAAGTACGGGCCTCTCATACCAGCCTCACATCAGGCGAGCACCGATATTGCCGAGGGCGTGAGCTGGGTCTCCACCATTATGGTGCACGCCAATCGCGTATCGGAGGATGGTACATGGAGGAACACGGAAGGCGTCATCATCCCATCCCAAACCCCTAGCAAGAAACCGGCATATATCCGAGCCTCCTCCCACTTTGCAGATACCGATTGGCTCTTTACCCGCGGTCTCGCCCTCCCATCCGTCGACATCACTGTCCCCACCGTCTCCTATCTTGATTGGGACGGCGCCAACCAGATGCGCGTGGACTTTTACGAGACTGTCAGTGCAGCGTATGGAGCACGTGAGGTGCGCCTCGTGCCCCTCATTGAGGAAGACGGAGTTGAGGATAGGGTGTTATGCCTCAGCATGAGCGACTATAATCCCAGCACTCTTCCGGCAGCAAAATTGTCTCTACGCCAGGTCCTGGGGAACCGACGACGCAATATCGAGGCCCAGCCATGGTACTCACTCGATTCTACCATCGGCGTCGAATACTTGCCAGTCACTTTCGAACGCTACCGCCTTGTTCGAGAGTGCTGTGTCGATCTCCAACTCGAGTATTTCCACATTGAATCCTCCTTGGCAGGGCTCGAGTCTTCACTGTCTAGGATCTATGAGGGAATGCGCGAAGAAGAGAAGGCGCTGCAATATGAGTCAACTGCGAAGCTGCAAAGGCTGAAGGAAAGGCTGGACAAGGTTGTGGCGGAGTACCAGCTTGCCAGAAACGATTTGGATAAGCTGAGGCCTATGGAGAAGAGTGATTGGGAAGAAGAGATTGAAGACGACTTGGCTTCGAGTTCGGGCTCCTCAACTGCGGCCGACGAGAAGGGACCAATCGACGGTTCCGAAAGAGAGATTTCGAAGGGTAAGAAAGGACGTTCAACGGACATCGCAGGATCGGAAGCAGCTCCTCACGCTGCGGTCCCGCCTCCACCATACCTTACCCTTGCTCTCGCTCCCCCCACCGCACCCACTTCTTCCTCTTCCGCCCTTGACTCATTGCCGGAAAGCCCATCTCAACAAGCCACCTCTCATTCTTCTGCGCGCGCATTCCTTCCCTCCTACTCCTCCGGACTACCCTCGCACTTGCAGGAATATTATCAGCAGAGCTGGAGGTCTGAGGGTGGGCTGTTCTGCAGGAAAGGAAAGGAGATGCTCCTGGTGGCGCCCTCGTGCGATGATGCTTTTCCGGATGTTTACTTTGATGGGAGGACGATGCTGTTGAGCGGCTTTACGGTGCGTTACTTACCGCTATCGTTTGCTTTTGGTGCTGACGCGTAGGCCAGCCGTATGATTACCATATCTTGACTTTTTGAGGGGTCATACATACCTCCGCATTGGAAGTTGGATGTTTATGAGAACCAGCCAAAGACTCCGAGGAAGGTTTCGGAGGATAGGAGACGGGCGATGATGGAGGAGGTATACTTAATGATCCTTCTGGATGGTTCGGTGACATGATGTCGGGTAGTGGAGCAGAAGCAGCTTTTGGGGGGTGGTGTATATGGGGTGTAACTGGGCTATGGCGATCATACATGTACTGTACTCGTAGCACACAGATGTATTCATGAAGATACTGTCACAATCCATGATCCCAGCGAAAAGCCCCAGCAACATGTACCGAGGATTACGTACATTACCACTTTCATGTCAACGCTTTGAATTTTATGGTGCTGATATCCAAAGCAGCCGGGTGCATATCATGTTTTGACTTTCTGGGGTCTTATAATCGAATCGTGCGTGTCTTTGATCTTCTAGGGGCTGTCCTGGCCTCGCCTGGATTCCGCACAAGTCCACTGTCGCCACTTTGAGTGTTTGGTGTCATTTTAAAGGGTAGGATAAGTGAGGCGTAACCTAAGGGCGGTTACGTGGTGGATCTGACTAGGGGCGCCAGATGCAGACCTTGAATAGGCTGGAGGGATGAAGGATGGATATAGGTGAGGATGTTATTACGAGAATACATCGGTGGGGAAAAGGATACGGAGACGCGGCACGATGTATATATGGGAACCTCATCTCGCAATCCAGCCTACGCATTCCTGAGACCATAGCGGCAACCCTAGTCACCGAACCCTGCGTCCAAAGTACACGTCACAACATCTGTACCAATCCCTTACAGTCATGAGGGGCCTGTATACTTCGCAGACGTCGGAGGGTCACCGGGATGATGTTCGACGGTGTCAGCGTCGTATTGGAAGGCGTCATCGTGAGTCACAACAGTGGTGGACTGTATCATCGACGAGGCCGGCAATGGTTAATCTGCTATATTTGCAGCCAGACTCTCTCATGTTTACCACATTCGAAGGCTAAGTGTCGGCTACCAACCACTGTGAAAAGAGATCCTCGGTCACAATGTACTTTGAGAGCCCAGTTGACCGTCGGCCGCTGCCGGGCGAGATTGTATAAAACTTCCATCATGCACCTTCATTTCTTTGGTTTGAGCTCAGACGATTTCGTTTGAGACGCTCACTAAGCGATACAAGGGGACCAGCTTCTAGAAGTGTGTGCATCTCTGATAAGAACAACTATTTGAATCGACTACTTAACGCGACCACTGCGACATTCTGAACCCTCCACTCTGCGCCCAAAGCTCCGCCAAGGTCCAATCGTTATACAATGACTGATGGTCTCGTGCAGCTTGAGCCGCATATACCGCGTCGTGTCGAAGACGTAAAAGATCTTGACGACGAATGTTCTGGGAAAGATTATGAGCGAGGCTTGGAAGATATATAGTAACACTTACCACTCTATCGCAGAGTTGTCGGAAGATTGAGTCTCTGATGTCGAAAAGTACCAGCGGAGAGTCGTACTAGGGGAAAGAGAGGGAACAAAAGGTCAGAAAGGTCGACAATATGTAGCGTTGGGTAATTTGAGCTCACCTCTACCAGTCGCCCTTGGTCAAGAACCATGATGCGATCGTAATACGCGAGTGTGTGTAGTCGATGTGCAATAGAGATGAGCTACGGCATGAGGACTGTAAGCCGACATCTCCAGACTAGACCAGGAAACTCACTGTGACGCCTTTCAAATGGTTCTGAATTATCCTTTGGATGAGCGCATCAGTCTCACCGTCCACGGAAGAGGTGGCTTCATCGAGCAAAAGTATCTTTGTGCCCCTTGCAAGAGCTCTTATCAACGCCACTACGTTTGAAGTGTTAGCTCACTTCATTTCGCCGAGATAGTTACTCACAGAGCTGCTTCTCTCCTCCACTGAAATTGCTACCTCCATCGGCAACTGATGCGTCCAGCCTGAACTTCTCCTTCATCGATTGAGTAGAGGGCATGATAGGATCCGTGTGGATGAGATGGAGAAGCGAATTGAGGTATGAATCGTTGTGTTGATCGAGGGGGTCCAGATTCTCTCTATCGAATGGTGTCAGTCGAGGCAGGTCGGGCGTCATTGAAGATCTAAAGTAACTCACCTGACAGTGCCCTCGAACAGGAATGCCTCTTGCGGTATTAAACCAACTCCATTCCTCAGAGTGTCAAGTCCTACATCATCGATATCCAGCCCATCCACTTTGACCTTTCCCTCCGTCCCTTCTTTCCCAACAACCCTCATGAGGGCTCCCACCAAACTGCTTTTTCCAGCTCCGGTTCGTCCTATCACACCCACTTTCTCCCCGGCACGAACGGAAAAGCTGAGCTGTTTGAGAATCCAAGGTCCAATAGGAGAGTATCTCAGAGAGAGATTGTGGAAATCCACAGCGCCTCTCGAAGGCCAGTCGCGAGAGTCTAGAGGTGATATGGCGAGAGGTTCGGTTGGGAGAGAGGTGTAATGGATGATGCGCTCGGCATTGTTCTGAGCTAGATCAGCTGATAGGAAGACTTGAAGGCGAACATGGCTTACCATTTCAAGCTCGACTTGAGCATACAGAGAGACCAAATTCGAAAACATTGCTGCGGCTGCAAGAGCGTATGAAAAGACGACTCCGAACGATGACGGGTCGACGGTGTCACGAAGCACAGTACCGACGATTGCGATGAGCTAAGTGATTTCAGTCTCTGTCGACGATTAAAGATGTGTGAAAAGATTACAAGAATGAGGAGATTGGAGGAGAAGTCAAGGCGGACACCTAGCCATCTACAAGTTGTTAGCAGAGACTTATACGCAAATTGTGGGAATGCACCTTTGAATGGTGATCTACATCATACGTCAGCGTGCTTCTTCTAGTAGGGTCAGATGAGACTTACTGTGAGTATGTAGGCTTGCTGTAAGACCGTACAGCCGTGGTGAGCAACGACTCATCAAGACTAAACAGGACCTACACCTTGTACGTTGATAGCACTCTGCATCCTCTTTTCGAAGATGTTTTGTTTTCCGAAAGCGCGTATCACAGAGGACCCTTCAAGCTTTGATCTTGCATCAGTACAGTCGGCTGTAATACTTGTACACTTACCTGCTCTCCAAACGAACTGTAGATATGCGATCTTGTATTTGAGTCAATACGTTTTACTTCACGGGAGGTTTGCCGATAGTATCCACCGGCAATGTACTATGTGGCCGTAAGCACTCGGTCTCTTCGTTTCATATAATGACTTACATAAAATACAATAAGAGGGATGAAAGCCAGCCCGAGCCATGGGTAGACATACAGAATGAGAGCAAAAGTACCGACAGCAGCTAAGCCATTCCTAGAGGCAACAATTAGCCTCGCCAACGTACACAAGCAATGTTGGGCTCACACCAGCAGTGTCTCCCATGCGAATGCCATCCTATCATCGAGCATCTCAATGTCTAAACGCCATCAGCCTCTGCTCGAGCGCGATCGAAGCCAACGTACCTTTCGACAGTCTGTTGATGATTCTCCCGCTCTACATATCCAGTCAGTTTGTCAAGATGGAGTACACAGAACACTCACCGGAGTCTGGTCATGCCATCGCATAGGCGCCCTCATAACGTGTTTCCAGGCTTTAGCAAATAACGTATACGACGATCGGAGACCGGCAAGGAACATGGTATACGAGGCTCCAAACTGTGACTCTTATTAGCATTCTCGCATACGCCGTATTTGAGAAGAGTGCTCACAGTGAAAAGCCCAATGGCAATGCCTAATGCGCCATATATGGCCATATACTCGCCTTGACTCAGACCCCAGCTATTGGAAGACCAAAAGCCCAACAGCAAACTATTCCCAACGCTCGCCACCTGGGTCAAAATCAAGAACAAGCCAAAGACGATGCCCCAAAGGGGTGTGCCCATAGCCCTGAGATAGATTGTATACACCGACCAAGGGATCGTCCCAGTTTGTCGATCTTCTTCCATCGTGTCGTCCGTCTTTTCGTTCGTACTCGGCTTGACTGGCGAGATTGGGTGTCGTGCAGCTGAGGGCGATGGTGTCGGCGTTCGAAAGTCTTCTCTCTTCGCCTGCATTTCTTTCGTCATCTCACCCAACATTCCCCGTCCCTTCAACCCTTCCCAGCTGCCCATCTGTCCCACTCTTCCCACTCCATGCCCATTGTTCTCCATAACGACTATCCAGTCCGATTTCGGCAATAGATCCAGCTGGTGGGTGACCATGATCCTGGTACGCTTGGCGAGTGGGCCGGAGAAGATGCAGTCCGAGAGGATTTGATGAGCGACATGGGCATCGACGGCAGAGAGGGGATCGTCGAGGAGGATGATGGAGGAAGGGTGGTATGCGGCTCGAGCAAGGGATATGCGCTGGCGTTGGCCGCCCGACAAGAGAAGACCTTTCTCGCCGACGTTGGTTCTACATTGAGAATCAGCTGTGCTCCCGTGAAAGAAGTGAATGTGTCTTACAGATCACCGTTTGCCATGGCATGAATGTCGGATCGAAGAGCGCAAGCATCGACGACCTCATTATACCTAGCCCAATCAATCTCCTCGGGTCTTGAAGAAAAGGTGATGTTATCCCGAACGGTCCCCGAATGAATCCATGGGTGTTGTGGTACTGCATATCATGAGCATCCCACGGCCTGGTGTCGACAGACGGAGCTCACCATAGCTCACAGACCCTCCGAAGATCGTATGCCCCTGTACCTGCTTCATCTCATTGATCAAGCCAGCCAACAGCGCACTCTTACCACTTCCCACCCTCCCTACAACACACACCAACGCGCCCCTGGGTATCCTCATATCGACCCCCTTCAGCATGAACGGCGTCTCCTCTTCCTTCTTTTCGTCCTGTGACCCCGCCTCCTCTTTCTTCTCGACGAGAAGCTTCTCAAACTGATAATCTCCCCTCACATCCACAGCCCACTTCGATTCCGCCCTCACATTGACTCCTTCCGGCAACTCCTCGCTCCGCAGCAGCTTGCCGATACGTCCGATACCGACGAGAGCGTCGGAGACGGCGGTGAAGCACATGGGCAGGAAGGCGATAGGTGTTTTGAGAACGTTGAAGTATTGGAGGCCGGAGAAGATGATCGATGGAGTAAGGGCATGACCAGTGAGACCGTACGTCACAAACGTCACTGCAACGTGTCAGCAAACCTACCAATACTTGTATCGTGACCAGACTCACGAACAGCAGCCAATGTCGGTATCACCGCCATCGTAGCATTCATACTCGCCCGATTAAATCCATTCTTCCTCAGATATATCAACTCCTTCTTCCTCAGCTCGGTGACTTTGTTCGAGAAATAGGCGACGTAGGCAAAAAGCTTGACAGCGCGGATGGAGGTAATGGTTTCAGAGAGAAGCCGGACACGAGCGTCGACGTGGGTGAGCTGGGTGATACGGGTGCGGACCATGAGGGTGAACATGAAAGCTTGGAGAGGACCTGCTAGAGCAAGGACCTACGTGTCGAGTCAGTCTCAAGTTTCTTTTGCTGGGTCAAGCTTACCGCTAGACCGACGAGAGCAGAGTATCCCAAAGTCCATATGAGCAGCCCTAAACCAACCAAAATCTGGACGGGCTGCACAACTAGATCCAACGTCATTGGCGCCGAAAAGTCGAGGAAGGAGGCGTCTGCCGATACCATGGTGGTCAATTTGCCGGAAGTCATCTCGACTTTGGCGGAGCTTGACAGCTTCATCGATTTGCGAGAGATCAGATCGATCAACTGCGGTGGTATTAGCACGTATCAGCATGCCTCTTGAGTCCAGCGGACGTACTGCAGCGCGCATCATAAAGCCAATCACAGACCCTCTCTGCAACGCCTGATACGAAAACAAGCTTGCAGCCTGCACCATAGCAAACAGCGCGAAAGACAATCCGATCCCGTACCCAATGGATTTGGGCTGGTCTGACGATTGGCCGGTGTAGTATTGATGTGCGGTTGTGAGCTGCTCGATGAGGATCTTTGTGAGGAGAGGCGATGTGACTTGTAAAGCGGCTAGACGGACTCAGCGTCTATCAAAGCAGTGTCAGATCAGGATGTACTGACCAGCACACCCTTTCATGATTATGGCTTTCCACCACGCCCACCAGACCGTAGCGTACATGGCCTTGATCAAGCTCATATCGTACTCTTTGCCATCCTCCACCGCGAGCTCGCCGTCTTCGATCCTCTTCGCCTTCTTCTTCCCATACCTTTTCACGATATCTCCTTCACTCTCCTCCTTGTCTTTGGACAGCAGCCTCGTATCCTCCTCGGATTCATCCACCATCGTCAAAAGATGTGCCGAGTCGTGGGACACCGCATAGCCTTCAGCACCATCGATCGTAAACATACTCTCCCGCGCCTGCTTGAAGTACGCTCTCGATGAGGATGTGGAATATCGCCCATGGCTGTTGCGAGAGGTGGTTCGCTGATGCCGGGGACGGGGGTACGAGGCTGATGATGGAGATGGATGTGACGGTGATACGCGTTTTGACGGAGGGGTGCGTTTGAGCAAATTAGCCCGTAGCTGATCGGCGATCTGCACATGTCTCATCAGCGTGCAGTCCTTTTGATAGGATTAGACTGACATTTTTACACTCGAGGTCGCCAGTCAAGCTCCACAGATCTGCGTCCCATCAGCTGACCCATATCGTGTGTTGTAAAGAGCTTACCATCAGGCTCGAGGGGCCGGGAGTAGCCAGCACGCATGACTGGAGTAGCCCAGTGGTATAGGATACGAGACACTATATTAGCTTTGGCTTCAGGAAGAGGCTGACCCTGGAAGACCCCAGGCGCTGCCGGTACAGGCTTGTAGAACGGGATCATGTTGCGGTGTCTGTATCAGCTCGTCGGTCCTACAGAGAAGACGGATTATCGGAAAAGGCATTTTCGAGAATGAGCGCTGTACTTGTATGGTTCTGCAATTGAAAGGCAGACGGGTAGGAGAAAGGATCGGCATACATCTGTTGCGAAGATCGACAAGAGACAGAAGCTCAGTCGGCCGAAAGATTCCTGGTACCTCAAGCTCCTTTGTCGTTCAGGAAGGGTGGGGGGCAGTGTCGGCGCTTCTGTCATGTGGGTGATTTATTTGCGAGACGGAAGAAGAGCTGAATTCGCAGAACGACCTTTGAAGTGAGAGTTACTCTCAAGTTACTCTAGTCTCTACAGGATCGTAAGGCGGCGGTCTCCGCTTTCCCCAACACGTCTGTAAGTTCCAGTTCCGGCGTCATCAACAATCTTGTCTTTCCGTCAATCAGCCGTCAATCCATGTTGTGTTATGTTGGAAGAAAGGATTGCGGAGATGGCCGCCGGACGTTCGCGCTGGAGTGTTACATAGTGGTTTCCATATGTCTTCTTCTTCTTCTTTATCCATGAAACCTTATAACCTTTACAACAGATTATGAGACCTTGAGAAGCTGGAAATCGACCGTATATACCGTCCTTCCACTCCTTACTGTTATCATTTCCATGCCGGAAACTATACCACTACCACTATCACCACAACCACCGAAAATTTCCATGTCGGACCCTATCTCCCCTCTCCCTTCAACCTGGGACACCTGCGATTCGTGGGTCACCTCCTTGAAGGATACTGTCTCCTCGGTGCCTCTTCTCACCGGGGCCTCCAACTATCTCCCTTGGGCCGAGTCGCTCCAAATCGCCTTGGCTGGGGTCCGTGGGTGTCTTTGTCTGCTAGACGAGACCCCTGCCGCCTATCTTCCCTCCGCATCTACTCCTAGTCCTTCCACCACATCTCTTCCTGCAGCGATCTGGAAGCACCTTGACACTGCTCTTGCTCTTGTCCTCGTGCGTTCCCTCCACCCCGACCTTGTTCCCTTATTCCAGTCTCTCGTCCTCGCCAATCCCTCTTGCGCCGCCCGGACCCTCTGGCTCAAGCTGGAGGCCGATTACGGTGGTCGCTCGTCCTACGACCTGTGGCAGTCTGTCCAGGCTCTCAACTCTGAGCCCCAGGGCTCTACTCCCGTCACCGAGTTCATGACGGCTCGCAAGAACAAGTTTGAGGCCATCAAGGCTGCTGGGTACACTTTGGATCGGCGGTTCCTGGACAATCTTGTCGTCGGCCTTGGCCCTCATCTCGGCCCTACTGTCCGCGGTCTCGACTTCTCGTCCCTCACCTATGACTCCTTGTACGCTGCTGTTCGGGGGGTCGACGACAGTCACCGCCTGCATGCCGCGCTGCCCTCCTCGTCTATGGCCCTTGCGGCCGTTGTTACTCCGGCCCCCTCGCCTGTCCCGTCCCTCGCCTCGCCTGTCCCATCTGCCGACTTCCCTTGCGACATCTGCCGCAGTCCAACCCACTGGTCCCCTGCCTGCCCCGAGCGCCACGCTCCTGACGCTCGTGCCAGGCAAGAGGCTTCTTACCGGGCTCGGCACGCGCGGCGAGCCAAGATCCCCGGGCAGATTGTGAAGGTGATCGAGTATTCTCGCCTCCCGGCCCTTGGCTCTATCGTCCCTCCTCCTGACAAATGGACCTGATCATATTCCATGACTCTGAGCTGATTCAGGAGCGCTGGTGTACATTACAAGTGTTTCGTGCATGGATATATCATGACATGTTACTCGTTCGTTATTCGTTATGCGCTCCCGCCTGGATTCTTCTGTCTCATCCACCACGGCCATCTCTAGCACGCCGGGTCAAGACAGCCGACAGGGAAGTCGTACGCCGTAGACTCACTTTGCTTCGTAATAGTTCAATACCTCTCAATACCTCTCAATACCTCTCCATGCGGCCAGCTCTCTCCATTCCCGTGCTAAAAGTTGAGTATATGATAATCGTAAGGCTACTTCGGCGTTAGCGCTAGCAAAAGTTCAGGTCAATCGTCCCGACATACCGTCAATCCTCCAAGAACCAATGAGTTTCCATCCAACAGCACTGTGGGCGACTTCCCAATCTCCATCCTCGCTACCAACAATATCTCCTTTGACCTCTTGGCGAATATGGTCTCTTCATATCGATCTCTCGTATCGTAGTAACCCTCCAGCTCCCTGGGCAGATCGTGGCTGAAAGATGGGTCGAGGATAGGTGGGGAGGAGATAGTGGGGGAGCTGTTTGAGGTTTCGGTGGTCCAGTCCGGTCTGTTGGAATGGGTGAGAGTGAGCGTCAAGTATGGCGGCGAATGTTTCTCTCATCCGCTCTGATCCTCCATGGAAAGCTCGAATTCAGATTCCAATGTCGTCGAATCGCCCGCCTCCATTCTGCTTGCTTGTGCGTCGCACTCCTCGACATCGACCCTCACTCCCGTCGCCTCGAATTCCACCAGCAAGTTCTTGAAAGACTGGAACCTCTCTTCCACCTCTGCCCTTCGACCTCCCAACAGAATCACATTCCTCTTCTGAGCCTCGAACATCCTCACGACATCCATATCGACAAGATCTTCGTCGTCGCCGAGGGTATCATCGAGCTCCACTATCTTTGAAAGCATCTTTTCTCGTTCAACCTCGAGACAAGAGTCGACCTGGGCAAGAAGGTGGATGAACCCTGAGAGCTTGTGGCGGATTCTATCTCTGCAAGCGTCGATAGCAACAGGGTCGTCGGTATCGGTGATACTGCCCAGCAACGCCTTGAACGCCCCCAGCTCTCGCCGACGTGCTCCAGCGATCCTTCTCTTTGCCCAAACACCATCAGGAAGGGAGCTCTCGTTGTAGTCGCTCAAGCTGAGAACATATTTCAGCTTGCCTCGCATCTCTCCCTCCTCGCCTCCCTCTCCCTCCTCTCCATCAAACACATCCAACATGTTCTCCCGAGGTGCGGGCACGATCCTCACTTCCCTCGTGCCATACATGGCAGAGAGGGTAAAATCGATTCCCAAACGTAGGTGATTGGCGCTCATCCACTCTTTGTAAGGGAGAGAAGGGATGGCAGCGAGGGATGGCGAGCCGTCGGCGACTTGGTGCAAGTCTTGTGGGAGAAGGGGCGCTTGGTCTGGGTCATGGGATGGAGAATCGAAAGTTGAAATAGGCTGGAGAGGAGAGACAGTGTCGGGGGACCGGATGTCGAGTTTGGAGTTGGTTCTGGGTTGGCGACCGTAATAGCGAGACTCGAGAAATCTCACAAAGTCCTTGCCAGCAGTGGTGTCGACAAAGGTTTCAGAGCTGTCGTCGGCCTCATCCATCTCTTCACTGCCTTCTTGGGGCATGACCCCCCGCCCACTCCCAGACGGACTCCATACTCCGCCCTCCGTCAATCTCCCATGATATCTCATCAGGACCAGAGCCTTCGCCGCCTTTGCCACGATGGCGGTCCTCGCTCCCGTCTCAAATGATGCCAAGTCCACCAGTCGAAGGACGTCCTCTTTCTTCATGCGCGGCATCTCCGCCACCATCATCCGAAAGGCAAACTCCGAAGCTCGATCGAGAAGTGAGGAGAGGTCGGCGACATTGGACATGTCATCAAGCCCCCAGGTGAAGATCCCAAGAGTGTCGGATTCGTGGATCGAAGGAGAATATCGCAATTGGAGGATGTTGAAACTCTCGGGCTCATAAGCCATAGCCAGTGTATGAGGAAGAAGGTCCTCGATTGGCAGGTCGAATCTCACTACTGGAATGGCAGACGGGATGTCAGACATGTACCAGCTGCAGCCCATAGTTGGGTACGTCTGCGCATACTCATAGTCATTCGCCGGGTCGGGCTTTACCGGTGGAAAGCCTAGGGAGGGAGGAAGGAGGATATGCGCGTCAAAGCTGCATTGCACAAACCCCTTGAGCTCCTCGGGAAAGTCATCCGGAGGAGGAGGACCGAAATCGCATAGCGCTTTGTCGTAGAGACCTGGTTCGACAGAGGCTGGGACGGGTCGGGTGGATGCAGTGAACGCAAAGGGGCCGCAGGGGCTGACAGTTGATATGATCTGATGTTCCGCGATTGGGATGGACTGTATCATCATTAGCTGTCATCCAATTCACAGTGACATGCACCTACACCGAGACAGACACCCTTTTTCCAATCCCAGACACCCCCGAAGATCGTCTTCTCCGAATCACGGTCATTCATCAGGACAGCAAGTTGCCCTCCCGGGCCGAATGTCAAGTCCGCCGCTGCCTTAGCATACTCGACTGGGAAAATAAGTTCGATGAAAGGGATAGGGGCGTCAGGATGGGGGATTGGATCCAGGAAACCATCGATGGGGGCAGGAGTGCCGAGAGGAGGCAGAGCGCAGTAGAATTCGACGCGAAGAGAGAGATTGGTGGAATACGATTGGGATTTCATAGGACGGAAGCTATCGATTGGGTCAGTCAGGCTCACAGAAACATGAAACCACACTCACATCAAAGCGACGAGATTATCCTCCCCGCACATCTCGATGTGATAGAACTCTGCCGATGTACGAGTCTTCCAGTGCCACAGACCTTGGTCCCTCACTGCCCCGCGATTCAAGGAGTCAATGTCCGAAGCTCCTCGATCCACACGGTAGACATCCCACCCTTCAGACGACTCATCAAAGCAAGTCTCACCGGCTGTCTCACGGCCAACCTCGCTCTGTTCCATGTCCCGTTCTCGCTCCTCGGCATTCGCCCCTTCAACATGGAATACGAGTAGTCCATTTTCAAGGGCGACTAGCTCATGATACCGGTCCTGCTGGATAGAAATGATACTTGAAGGATCAAAGTCGTCCATGCGTTGTTGCCGCTCCTTGAGAGCGGCTAGGCTGTCGGCTGGGGTGGCACCTTGTCGGAAGGTGGAGGGAGGGACAGAGAAGAGCCTTTGGGTATGGGACAGTTGGAGGCGGGAGGATGTCCTAAAGACATTGTGGACATGTTTGTTGACCTTGGCAGCCGTCAGTAGATGTATGGTGGAGCGATGAGTCCAGACTCACTCGGATGAAGGACACGACCTCCTTGAGCGTCAGGCAGTCGAATATGCCTATAAGCACATCGGAGTACGCGTCCTGGGTGAACAGGGGCGGTTGCGGGGACATGGCAATGGGGAAGTCAATACAGAGGAAAGATAGAGATGCACTCAGGACTATCGAATACAATTGGGACACAATTGAGTGCGTGCGAGACACCCTTCCCCGACACTTATACACGGCAATAGCCGCCTTTTTACACGCGACTGCGTCGCGAGGTTTGCCAGCAACGCCGCATGAAGTAATCGATTACTTCATCAGCTTTCACCGGGTCTTCAATCTTATGTAATACATGTACATATACCACCACTTACTTGTAGGTGCAGCCGGCATTGAGCACAAGTGTCCGCTGCCGTTCTTCGGTCGTATATGCATGATAGCACCTGTAAGTGATACGTGAGATAGCCCATGCTCAAGCTGACATTGGGCACATAGTCCATGCATACAAATCAACAGTTGCCCATCCTTATCAGTGCTATCTTCATCGATCGCTCCTCGAGCCAGCCACAACTGAACAGGTTTCCATGCGAGACCTCGCACCACGAATGCCCTGCCCATCTAGCCTGAAGAGTGAGAGAGAGATTATAGGAATGCAGAAGTGTCGCTATGGTTATGAAGGCGATTCCTGGTAAGCTCTTGATCTGAAAGCAATCAACTATCCGTGGCATATCACTCTTGCGTTCATCATTCATTATTCTCCAGATTAATCTCGTTCAGCCTTTCCTCTATATCGTCTAACACTTCCCTCACGTTCTCTCCGTCACTTTCATTAGCTTCATCACCATTCTAGTCATACAAAGATCTGGTCTCCTCATCCTCTTCCCTCCCATCTACTGCTACATCTTCATCTGCCCTTGTGTGCACAAACGCGCCCCAGAGTCGCAACAGTGCAGAGTAGGACATGTCCCACTCACAACAAGTTACCCCTACCGAGCCATCGCCCCAACGTCTCCACCCGCCCTTCCGTCTGCTACCTTCTGTAGCAGTCCCATCGCGAGTGATCATTGATGCTCCGGTGTCTTGACAGTCCTATCGAACCCACTAGTATTTTAGCTAGTGTCAGTCACATAAGAATTGTGGACTCGGACATGACGTACCCAGATGATTTATCTACGCCTATAGCCATCTCTCCGACCAGCCATCAGGCTATCCTTGCCGCCGCTCAGGTATGTGATGCCATGGCTCAGAGCTCTACCGCCTCCTCTGGTGACTCGTGCGAGGAAGCGGGGTTCATCTGAGTCGCTATTGAGTTTCGTCAGCAACGAGGCCACCAATCATGAGAGACAAGCGCATCCTCACATTCACCTTCTCGTTCTCGTTCTCGTTCTCGTTCTCGTTCTCGTTCCCCTTCCCCTTCTCCTTCTCCTTCTCCTTCGCCGTGAGAAAAAATGGTGGCCCCCTTTGCAATCCCCGCCTGTTTCCTCTTCTCTCTGGACGCCTGATCCTTTCGCAACCCCCCCCCCCCC